ACTGAACATTAGAATTTACTGACTCAAAGATAAGTATTGATAGAGGAAAAATCTTAAGTAACACAGTCAGTAGATCCCAATCTTCCATTTCCTTTCCAAAATGGCCTTATTTTTTTACTAAATTGCTTTCCATTGAATTGAGGTTAGAAATGAAGTTTGTTTACAGCCATGTCTGTAAATTTTCACCAGGAGGTTTCTCTGTGGGGATTTTACTACCTCTGAAGCGTGTGTTGGTCTGGATTTCACTTGATACATCTCATCCATCTCTTCCTTAGCACTCCTTAAAGAATGCAGTGGAATTTTTTTACTCCCTATTGCCTGTGGGGTCCCTCCAGCACCTTGTAGGATCCATAGTGCCACAAATGTAAAGGTTTAAGATGAGTAATTGCTTTGACTGGGAGTCAGAGATGGATTGTACATAGTTTGGACCCCCCACCACTGCCTCCTGAGGCTTTGAGTTCYCACATGCTTAGAACTTTAAAGGAAGTAGTGGAGACATCCAATCCTTTCATTCGGGAACCACGGAACACATACATAGCCTTGAAAGAAGCTAATATTCAAATATTTATCTCCTTCTGCATGTAATGACAAGCAATTTACAGATTTAACTGTTTTACCTATTAAATAATTGCTTTGAAAGACAGATTAAGTCAGTGCTGTGGAAACATGTCTTTCTGGGGAGACAAAGGGGGAGCTATTTTTCTCCCTGACCTCCAGCTTATTAGCATATCTTCTTAAGGTTTGCTCTGATGGTGGTATTGTTGCTTTCAGCAGYATAGATATTGAAAGGTGTAAAACAAGAAATTTATATTTAAGAATATTTAATGTGCTTGGTCAATTACTCTTCAAGAAATTTGATGAAAGATTACATTGTCTTTTCCATTCTCTTTGACTGTGTAAATGCAAGATATTCCTGTTGCTCTGCTTCAGCTTTTTCCATTGCATTCCTCCGTCCCTGCTTTGGGAGGGAGCAAATGAAGCTCATCTCTCTTGACTAGAGATCACCTTTGCATTGTTCATTTAMTTCATAAGATTTCTTCACTCTGGACATGGAGACACTCTCTCTACTTGCTCATTTCTTTTTATGACAGTTACTTTGTTTTGGTTTCATTTTCTGWCCTCCCAATGTTTGTTTTCAGAAATTGGTTTCTCGCAACCAGTTCTTTTGGAAAACCAGAGCTGCACATTTTTGTCTCTTGCTTCACCAGAGACCCAGTTGTTCTCTAACCCTGTGCTAAGCTGACATGTCAGAAATATGGTAGGAGAAAAATAAGTAATCAATTTTGGGTTGTTGAGGGTCTTTTAAAAGTAATAAATTCCTATGCAGAGACAATCTCTGTTTGATTTTTTTTTTCCTGAAAGGTTATCTTTACTGCCCTGTCATGAGGCAGGTGTTCAGTTTTCAGGCACATAGTTGTAAATTTTCAAGCAAAAAATGACACCGTAAAATGTGTCTGCAAGTTCTCAAYCCTTACTCTGGTAAAACTTGTGTAATTTGCACTTGCAGTTTTGGAGGGAATTCAGTGTAAGACTAAGGCCACTTCTTCTGACTTGTATTTCATTATTAATCCTTATCCTCACAACTACAGAAGCTTGATTATGAGGAGAAAAAATATTCCAGCCATGTAAGGAATTGCAAGTAGAAAATGTCAAAAGCTGGAAGCTTTTATAGGTTTAATAGAAAATTAGACTGTATGGTAGTTATTCTGTCTCCCAGTTATACGAAAATTTGTAGACTCAAGCTGTAGTAGTTAACCTTCACTATTTAGAAAAATAAGGTGAAAAGTTTATGTTGGTGAATGTGAAAGTGAGATAACTGAGTAATGATTCACTGTTTGACACTGAGAAAAAAGGTCTGAGGTAATAGAGACTTYGTTTTAGTGGATACTCCTCATAATTACTGTGTAAATTTGGCTGAATTTTAGAAGTAGTGTGTGCTGCATCTATCAGGTCTATTTTGTCTTTAAGCCTTTGCGTAGGTATTGAATATAGTTAGATTTTTTTTTTAGTAGCCACTTTATTTAATTTAGGAACTTTGCATTCTTTGCAAACACCCAGGGGTAGAAATGTCTATTTAAAGTCCACAACTGAGAGCTTATTGACTGTGCAAAGCAATTATTCATAGTTAGTAAAACAAATATTTAATTTTAGATTAAACTCCACTACWTGTTTAGGACTTCTAAAACACTCACTGCTTTAGACCTCACCCTGAAGCTGGTGTTAGAGTGATGTAAAGAGGAATTTTTTTCAACCAGAATTGAGGTGGCATGCTGATATTTAGGTGAAGTCAGGTGCTGATTGCCCAAAGTAGTGGAAGATCCTTCAGCATATAACTGACCTTAAAATTATCTTCTATTTTCTGTTTGAGGTTCCCCAAATTTATGAATCTCCAGTTCCCTCTTTAAGTGGTGCTCCAGTTTAGAATGTACTGGTGACATTACAACCAGTGGTGAACTGCATTGGGATGTAGACCCAGCCTGTGAAGGCTCAGGTAAGAGTTTGGATTTTTGTTTGTTTTTTTAACTATATGGCACAGTTTTGGTAATACTTTTTTTCCAAAAGTTTGATAAGAAATTAAGAAAATATTTTTTCAGACTTTTTTTTTACAAAACAAAGCCATATATTAAAAAAAGAGGCATTTACCTGAACTTTTCTAGGCTGGTTTCATGGTCGTGCTGATTCCCCTGCTTGAGGTGTGGGGTTACAAACTGCAGAGCCACTTCAAGGGGCACTGGTGATCTGTGGCTTCAGGCCACTTGACAAAAGGAAACAARGGAGTTTCAAATTGCCACAAACCGAGCTCTTTTCTTAACCAGGCTAATTCAGGTATTTAGGATGCTTCCTTTATGTTGATTAAATACTCATTTGTTAAAGTGAAATACATTCACAACGTTGTATGGAGATGTGGGTGTAATAGTGAGATGTGGGAGGTTTAAGCCTCCATTGGCATGGACTTTTATCTAGAAAACTTTCCATTTTTACCTGCTGTGACTGAATAGTGCACATGGCAAAACATGGTAAAAAACTTTTTTACTTACTGTTGTATGGTGTGAGGTCTTAATAAAATTAGAAATGCTGGTAAGCGTAGTAGATGTAATTTCTTACATTTCTCATTAAAATACATTAGTCCAGTCTTCTGATCATACAGGTCTGAATTACAGAGCTTTTCCAGCCAAGTGAAATATTTGGCAGCACAAAACACCTTTTAAACAAGGGCATAWGAGCTTTTGGAAGGGGTTGGAATGCAGAAACAGAGTGTGACTAGGATCACTGTCATGTCATTGGGTTTCTCAGTTTGCAGTCCAGGACCTTCCCTCCCTTTAGCACTTTTGATACAAGTTAATCCCAGTCATGGACTTTGTGAGTCAGAGATCAAAGCCAGCCCTTGAAAGAGGCACAGATTCCTGTGCTGAGTCAGCTGGAACRCAAGGACACCATCTCATGATGTGGAGCATCTGTACACCAGCTTTTTGCTCTGATTTGCCTTCTAAAAAGTGCTTTACTATGCCATTGAAAAGACTCCACTGTAAATACTTCTTTTCTAGTTTAGATATTATATGTAAAGCACACTTCACTTTGGGAAACTGAAATACCTTAATGCTATGAATCTTGTACTTAATAGCTACTTGCCATCTAAATCTAGATGATAAATTCTGTGGTGTGTCTTAGATGTGCTTGGTGGAAGGCATGGGCGTGGTAGAACAAGGAAGACAAACCAGAACCAATTTAATGTTCCTCCGTTACGGAAATAAACTGTATAAACCCGGTTCCCAAAACAAGGCAGCCTCCAGAACACAGTGCCTCAAACTTTCATGGTCCCTCTCCTTTGCTCCTTCTCCCCTTCCCTGCACTTGGATATCAGTGTAGCAAAGGAACACGCTGCCATTCTTGMACCAATGGCTGGGAGTGAAGTACTGCTTGAGAATATACATATTTAAATCAGCTTGGTCAATTTAGCAGGTTTTATGGCTGTACTTCAGAGTAGGTCATGCTGGTGATTCTGACTCAAAGCTAGAAGACTTCCTGTAAGAGAGTCTATTGTTTCGTTGCTTTCCTTGTATGGGATCTAAATTCATGTTAAAATTCATTTAGCATGCTGTGATGTTGGCAGACTGTGACTCAGTTTGTAATACAGGATATTAAATCTTTTTAGTTTAGGATGAATTTGTTTGTAACAGAAGATTACCAAGTGGAACCAWGATATGATAGTCTAGCCAGTATGTTTGAAATACTGCATTAATTTGTGTACATCAGCTCMTCTGAAGATAATACAGCAGCAAGAATTGGACTTCGGATGTGACAAGGGAAATAGACTCATAGAAGATGCTGGGTGTTGCATCTGTGCAGTGAATGCAGTGCTGGTGATGGKTATTTACTGGTCGTGTCCAGAGGGGGACAAAAGCACTTCTCTGCTGGGGGGGTCGATTATTCCATTTGTTTGTTTATGTGACATAGGGATTTGTGTAAGACTGACTGGTGTGGTACTGTGATAAACTCAATAAGACTTGTTCTCAGTCATCAGAGGTGTAGCATCTAAGAATGCAGAACTACCAAACTGTCATACAAGTGGGATGTATTTTGGTGCTTTGATATTTGAAAATATTATTATTATTATTATTATTGTTATTATTGTTAAAACAGTATTTAAATATTAGAGGTACTGGTATGCCATGGAGTATTTTGTGCCGAAGTAGAAATATTCTGAAATTTACGTTTAGCACATGGTGTGAAATACTGGTGTATTTGGTAGCTGAGCAAAGACTTTAGGAGTCGTGACTCTTCAGTGTTTTTCCTGACATATTAGAAGTGTGAAGAGTGCAGTAAAAGTATTTGTGAATGGACAGTCATTTTYATTATCAACATGTCAGCAAGTTTCAAGCTGTTCAATGAATAAATAATGGTTTAAAACAAGTGGCTTTGCTTCTGTCATGCCTAGAAAATGCAATATGGCTGGCTGCTCATAAAATAAACCCAAAGCTTCCTTATGTTGCTGCTTTTTTTAATTTCAACTAACATATGATTGTGACATTGCTGTGCAGTTCTCTGCTGCTTATGTTTTAAGTTGAAATCTCATTTTTGTTTCAGATTCTCCTTCTTCAGTGGTTAACAAACAGCTTGGATCCATGTCACTTGATGAGCCACAGGGTGCGTGTGACAGGAAATGCGCTATACCCAGCCATAGCTGATTGCAATGCTTCCTTTTAAAGTTGCTTTTCATGATGAGAAACAGTCTAAAAATGCTGTTCATCTACATTAAGTAGAATTCTGTAAGCAGATGTGCTGGAAACTCATGATTTAATGATCAATATGATTGACAGAGTGAGGTTAATTGTTTTTGAAAGCCATCCTAAGCTCAATTCTTCATGCAATTATTAGAGTTCAGTGTAGGTAYAGTAAATGTCTTATGTATTCTACACACAGTTGGAGTATTTTTGTAAAATGCAAAGTAAAATTAATTATTTAAACAGGTTGTTTTTTTTCTGAATGGTTCATCTTGGATGAAAGGGCAAACATCAAGATTGGAATAACCTTTAATCTCATAATGCCAAATGAATTTCACTCATGCACAAGTGATGTGGAGCTTTGTTACTCCTGCACAGTTTGATTAACTCCAGTTAATCTGAGTGCACTGAGGTACACCTTATATCTGTATCCCTTGTCCTTCATCCTTCCTGCTGAACAAGTACTGGTGTTTGTTTCTCTGTAGGATCCTTATGGACTTGGGGGGTGGATAGAATGCTTGTGATCTTTCTCTGTGCCCATTTGCATCAGTCTCCAAATTGCGAGCACTGAAGTGGGCCATAGGTACCTATTCCAGCTGCATTAATGTCATCTGTAGGGAATATTTAAGGCTGAATAATTAAGGAGTGATAGATGCTAATTTAACAATAGATGGCCATGCACTCTGCATTATGCTTCCATATCAAAACCTGTAGAGATGTAATATCTTAAATCCCACAAAAGAGCTTTGTCTCATTTCATATTCTAACTAGAAAGCCATTTTGAAATTCTACTTCTGAAAAACAGTCTGTTTTGCAACTGTTGAGATGGTGGTTTATTTTAGGATGCCAGAACATTGGGGAAAAAAATCAAGCTGCACCTTGAAAAAATAAATTGTTTTTGTGGAAATATATTTTGTGATGAAATAGCCTTAAGCCTTAAAATTGCTAATTATTCATGGGTCAGTAGTCCACATCATTCCAATAGTCAGGTTTAGCTGTAAAACTTGCTCATAATCAATGAGCCCAGTTATGCTCTCTGTTCTGAACTGAGAATAAAACWTTATTTGATCAGAGTAGAATAATCTAGAACAAACACAGAAAGTCTCTCTGAGACACTTACAACTGTAAAAATGTGGGAAAATTGTTTTTTTTTCTGTTTTAAAAAATTACTTGAACTAAGAGATTTCCTCTTATAGAAACACTTCTGATTTTTTAATATGTGAAGAAAAATCSCCCCAAAATACATTTCTCCAATTGTTTTAAGGCAGTGTTTTTCTGGTGTGTTGGCAGGCATTGTTACTTCTAATTTGGAACACTTGGAATTTGAAAAAGGGGCAAATTTATTAGGAAATCTGTTGTTCAAATGGTAACTGGAAAGAATACTTTCCAGTTGGATTTCTGAAGTTARACTGCATTAGTTTGACTTAAATTTGAAGTCTCAAAATAATGTAAGTAGTTAATGAACTGATTAAATTTCATATGTTAAGCCTTCTCAYAGAATTCTTGTTTTCTGAAATACACCGCATATTTCCTCCTCTTTGGATCAATTTTTCTGCCTTCCCAGAAGTATCTCTCTTTGGTCTTCACACAGAATATAGCACTGGCTAGGAATTATTTTGTTTTTTTTTGTAGTGAGAAGTCACCTATCCTCTTCTCATGAGGTTATCAATAGGTTAGTGAATAGGGCAGCATCTGAGATGTGGAAAACTGGCTTGAAGTGCCTTACAGTGTTAGTTTAACAATGAAATGCARTSTGTAACCTTGTCCTTGTGTACTTACCCCTTASAGTTCAGAGTCCCACTCTTYGTGAAATTACACTTGCACAGGTTCATTTTCTAAGGGAAAAAGTGAGTCTGAGGGATACTGCTGTCAGTTGTGCAGTTTGGGTTTGTGGATTCTTTTTCTTGAGAAGAAGATGAATGAATTGAGAAGATTATGAATGAAATTTTGTCTTCAGTTTTAAGAGTGGTARTTTAAAAGTCACTTCTTCCTGTAGGCACCTGGAGAATGGACCATTTCATGGGAGTTTGCTTTAGGAGAGGGTTGTTTATGAAATAACTGTAAGTTGTTGATAGTCTCTTCAAAATAGAATGTGTAGAATGAAGTTAAGTTGAAAGATTTTTGAGGAATTTGGAATAGAATTTAGTCAGGTGTTGACAAGCTACAGCTTTCTCCTTGAGCAGTTATTACCCTGCTAGAGTTTGCAATCAGATTGAGTTTTGGCAATAGCTGTCATCCAAATCACAGGAGTTGTAGCACTTTTCCTCTCCTTTCCTTCCTTACCAATGTGAGGCAGATTTGGCCGGATGGGATGAACTTAGTAGTTGAAGAGAACAGAGCTCTATTCTGATCATGACAATCACATTTATCCCTGAAAACGGAGTTTATGACTTGGGGGGTGTATGTGGCTTCTCTGAAGGAATGTTCAGTTATGTAGGAGGTAAAATTTATTCATTTTCTTCACAGAGGTTCCCATTCAGCTTTCATTAGCAGTGTAWGTTCAATATCAAATATTGAACTACACAACTATTTCTGTGCAGTTTATTAACAGATTCTTCTCTCATCTGTCTTTTTAAAAGTTTCTCGTTCTAATTAGTGTCTATGTTATGCTCTAAAACTACTTTGAAGAAGACACTGACCCTATCCAAATTGTACTTCATGTTATTGTAGATTTAAGAAAATGCTATTATTCAGTATGGCTAAACACCTATCTGTTCCCAGAAACTTGTAAAAATAATTTCTCAGTCAGTGCCCTCTTTAGATAAGGCTACATCAATTCTTCCAGCTATTTGGGTGTGAACAAATACGAGAATTTCTTCCAGAGTGAGTGTAGCCAGTGCTTATGCATCTTGGTTAGATTTTCAGACATAGAGATTTTAAGACAGGAAAGCATAAGCCTGGTATTCAGTTAGGTTCACTCTAGATAGCAATGTTTGATTAYTGTGGTTGGTGGCATTAAGTGGTTTTGTGCTGAAGCCAACCTTGCACAGCAGTAGGAAGTACAGGAATTGTTGTTTGGGGTTTTCTTGGATTATTCACAGCAGGAAATTCGTCTGTCTTTAGCTGGGTTCTCAGTTCAAAGATCTGTTTTGTCTGTAGCTGTTACAAGGAAGCTGAAGATTTCTCCAGGTCTGTCACTTTTGACTCTCAGTGTCACTTCCTGGTGACTTGTGCAGTATGTGGGGTCAATCACTATTTCTACTTGCTGAGGAAGGGATGCTTGAAGTTTGAAAAGAATTTTATAAAAAGAGATGTTTGCTCACAGATTGTTAAGAAATAGAGAAGGCACGTGTTTAGTTCAGAAAGAATGTCACTTCTGTTCAAACTACCTATATATAGCACTATAAAATATTTCCTTTCATTTCTTTCTTAGCAGAAAGATTATTTAAGATTATTTAGATTATTTAAGAAATGGGAAACCTTGCTTTTTTAATCAGTTTTATCCCTGCTCCACTCTAAMAAGAGTGTAACTGGAACTTTTATTTTAAAGGGGCTATAAGCTTTTCTTTGCATAGAATGAGGCCCATACCTTGTGCATTATTAGGATCATGTTGTAATTGGTTAATTCTCTTYCACATAAAAATATTCTAATTTGTTCTTTCAGAGGGTTTGTGGTATGTTTTGGGTTTTTAAATTTCTCTTTAGAACATATAGAASTGGGTATTTAAAGTTGTTTGGCACAGCTGATCACTGCTCTGATCCTGTGAGTGGGCTTCTGCCTGTCAGCAGTTTCAAAATATGAGCATTGATTGTTAGGTTAAATTCTTATGTGCTATCTCATAGTTACTATAATTTAATTGTATCTTGTGTATCCTSTGGCASTATTGTAGCCATTACTGYTATGATAACAGCCTTTTTAGTGGGRAAATTTGTAGGCTTSTGTTTAAATKGAATGKTAGGTTTTAACTGACTTCYAMAAAGATGGTCTGAAGCTTTTACTTTATTACACTTGTCAGTGTGCTGCCAATACTGCAAGGATATTTATAGTCCAATTTCTGTATTCTGTTAAATAAAAAAAGATGGAAGGCTTTGGCCAAATAGTCCCGAGATAATAAGCTCAGCATCCACGAAAAGCAAGGCTGCAGAGGCTGTTCAATGGCCATTTGAATGGTGCCTAATACTATATAAACCTTCCTTCTGACTTCTGAGATAATGGCACCTCGGCAGTGAGACTCAGTGTGATGGTGCTTTCCATGAAAGTTTTAGTGTTGCCCAGGATTTTTAGTATTGCTTCAGGATTGATGGCAAATTTGCCATTTTTGTGGATAGATAGTGACCATGGGCTTTACTCAGGGACGGACAGACGGATGGACAGACRGATGGACGGATGGATGGAYRGATGGATGGACAGATGGATGGATGGATGTCATTGAGCAGTTCTGTTCTGAAGGAGCTCACAACACCCTTAAAACCATTCTGCAGCCGATGAGTGACTGATGTGCTGTGGTTTTGAATTCCATTCACTTCTGTTTCTTTTGGACATYGTGAATGAGCTGGTTTTGCAAGTGCTCCCTTTCTGCTTGCAGTTATTGTAATATAAAATAGGGGGGTTTTAAGYATAAAGCTCTTGAATCATGGATTTGCAGTATTTTTATGACATCTGACTGACAATTTACAGCAGGTCTAAGGGTACTTGTAGTTGTCTGGGTTTTAAGTAGGCAACAAAGTGGAGGATGGTGATTTTTCTAGGCTGATTATGTCTGGATTTCATCATCTTTTTTATGTGTATTTACTGAGGCAAAAAGACTGAATACCACTTCGGAAAAATTTGTATTCTTATTAATACATTTTATACAAAAGGGATCTGCTTATTAATTATTATGTTGTGTGTACATAAATCTATCTGCARTTTTATTTACTTGCATGTTGAGGGACAGCATCTCCTTTGTTTGCTCTTATAATAGAAATAATTTTAGACCATTTTTCAAGCATTGCAAATTTGCTGTGTTTACTCTGGAAGTTTTTAACTTWTTGCTTGGCCTGTAAGAGTTCTTAGACATGATCTATGTTACTACCACATTTGATAATTAAATTAATCTTCAGAATTACAGCAACTTCATGTATATTACTAATGCCTATTCAAACTTTATCAACCCCCTATTTACAGAGAGTGATAGGCCACGAACAGGAACAGGTGAACCAGTTTTGAGTTTGCACTACAGTACAGAAGGAACGACTACAAGCACAATAAAACTGGCCTTCACTGATGAGTGGTAAGAACCTGTTAATTTTGGTTTTGACTACTTAATAATCAGCACATATGAATAACACTTGTCTAGCATAGCTATAAATTATTTTCCCTATGGTTTATATCTGTTTTTAGGCATATTTAGAGAATATGAAATGAGTGTAGTTCTTAATACATTCAGAACATTGCAGTCATACTTTTAATGTTAAATTTATACAAGAGGCTTCTTTTTTGTGTATTTTCATGAATCTCTTCAATTGTAATTTCAAACATGCTATTTTAATCAAACCCTGGCATAATATCAGTGTGTTATAAATCAGGACAGTACAGTGATGGAATGGTATTCCAGGGGTTACCAAACTTCTCATATGGCATTCTGCAAATTAGTCTTTCTGTGACTCAGTTCCACAGTTGTAAAAACTGAAATTAATATTTGTGTCTGAGGAGTGTTGATGAATGCATGAAGCTGAGATAGCAAATTTGTGGACTGCTTAAATGTTACAGTGGTGTTATCCTTTTCAAATAATGGCCTGGCGTGCTTGGGTTTGTGTCCAAGACTATCAAGAGAGCATCTCAGGATCTCCCAAAACAACCATCATTATTTTATCTCATCTGATCTCTATGCCTTGGCTTATGTTTTCAAAATTACTGTGGGAGACAGTAAGTAGAAATGCTTCCTCATTGTTACTGAGGGGAAAAAAAACCYGACAAAACTCAACCACATTTAGCTGCTCTTAAGTGCTGTGGCTTTAGACATAAACCGTACACCTTGCTCACAGCAGCTTGGAACTTAAAACACTGATTTTTGCCTCTGTGAGTTTGAAATAAATACTTTAAATAAAGTTCAAATCCAGCAAGCTTTTCAAAAATTGGTTTTGTTATGATGCTTTTAGGTAATTCTGCAGTTAGTCAGCTAGGTCAGTGGAGTTTGGTGGTGGGTAGTGTGGTGTGGGTAGTGAGAGGAAGAAGCATTTTAAGGTAGGACAAAGCTGCAAGCTGCAAGTTCAGAGGCTGACTGAAAACACTGTGCTGCAGAAGGGAGTAACAGGAGCAGGATGCAATTCATCTAACAAAATGATGCAGCTGAGAACAAATAACAGCCCCCTAATATGAAAGTTGGAAGTTGTGGAAAAAGACATATAAATTGAGCATTGAGCTGGAAAGTAGATTTCTAAGAGTCARAAAAGAAATCTTAGTGTTTCGGCAGTGACTAAGTTTATAAAATGAGACATGAAATAGCAAAAAGCCTCCTCTTGATGTCTAGCAGCACCRTTATTGTCTGGCCATTCAGAAAGAATGCTGAAAATTCTTGATTTAGAAGAAATACTGAAAGGCTTAACAAAAATTTCCTTTTGGCCTCCAAATCCATTACAGCAATAAATACACAGAATATTGCTCATCAAGATGAGTAAAACCTCTCATTTAGTGTAAGACATAAAATTCCTGAAGTCTAGGCTGAATTCTGAAGAATCTCGACTAAGCATGATCTGTGCTGCTTCTAGCAATGTAACATGTAAAATGTTTTCTAACAACATCCTCAGGTCAGAAGGTATTTGTAAACACACAGTCTAAATTCTGTAGAATCATGCTTATAAATGCCTTTTTTCTGCTTTTGTTCCATGATTTGCCTGAGTTTGAGGCCACATCACATAAGAGCTGAGCAAGAAGACTTTGCATTTCCTCAAAGTCTTTGCTAGAGAGTCTAAAAACATGAATTTCAGTGTTTTACATATTTCCCGAGGATTCATTTTCCATATTGTAAAAAGAAATTGGTGTTCCATGATAATTATGTAAACATCAGTGGRGAAGTAAATGTCAAATACCAGTTTATAGTAAATCTTGAGAAGTAACAGAACTTTAAGAACAGAAGTTCATACCTCAAAAGGTATACAAATGGTAAATAATGGTGAAGGACGTGRAGAATTTCATCTGAATCAAATTTTTTAATTGAATGGGATATCATTATTTACTAGTGCTCAGCTGATAGCTAGTCACACCTCTAATAAGATTTTTGATTATTTACACACCTAATAAGTGTGCAAATAGTGAAATAAAGCAAATCCTTTAGAATCCTCACAATACTTGTAAGAGCAATGATGACATTCTTAAAAGATTAAAAAAAAAGGATAGGAAGGAGAGAACAGAGTTCTGTGATGCAGAGGAATTGTGTGGGATGAGTGGTAACAGACACAGTAACAGTAAGAGAATTTTTAAAYTATTGTAAAGGCTGTTAGTTGTAGCTGCTGCCAGGAGTTCTTGAATAGTGAGACTGCAGTGAGAAAAATGATGTTGGTCAGGCTGTGCTATTGCAATGATCTTCTCTATTTACATGATGCTAAATTACTTTCTTTTTCCATGTTACGTTACCAGGAGCAGCACAAATTCAAGCTCTAGAGGGAGTGGAAGTCATTGCAAAACTGAAGGCCAAGAAGATTCTGTAAAAATAAAAGCTTTGGAYGAATCAGGGCCTGAAGGTGAAGAAACAAGTAAGATACAGTGAAATTTTTAATTATAAGGCAAAAACTCTGCTCTCTTATGTCCATGACTCCCATTGCAACAGTGGGAGTCTTACACATGCAYATGAAGGCAGAACACRGCCATAATAAAACATGAAGTATTTTAGGTAAGAAGACACCAACCTGAGATAGTTGCAAATAAATATAAACACCATTAACTTACCTTGTCTTTAGTTCTAAAAAYATTATTCTTCTTAGGAACATCTTTTGCCCCAGTTTGCATAGAGAAATAGAACAGCTGCACTTTGCAGTCATGAATGAGTGCTCAAGATGTTCCTACATTTCTTTCAGGCTTTTACTGCATTTATTACATGTGTTTGTCTTGCTTATGTCATTGCCAAAARGTCAGTCAAGTCAAATGACTGGTTCCAGAGAAATACTAAAAAAAAAACCCTTTTAATAGAGTGATAGCTTAATTTGTCTTTAGGAATAATTGTTTTTATCTGTATTAAGAGTACTAATGCTATTTTTGCAGCTGAAGTTCTCATAGCATAGGATGTTAAATACGTTGAGGAAGAAGAAAGAACTACATTTTTCTTTGTTAGTGTGTTGACCTGGTCAACTAGATTGGTTTATATATAAATCCATCTGACTTTTATGTGAGTGATAGCTGAGATTTCAGTGAAGAGCTGTGGACTTTGGAGTGGATTGCTTGCATTGGTTTCATCTAGGAGTGCTGCTGTTATTAAGACTTGCTTACATTATAGATGTGCTTTTAAATGAAATCTTGTGGTTTACTGTTCAATTGCCTAATTTAGGGGTTTCTGATGAATCTTACAAGGAAGATGCRAGTGCTGAAGAACTGAAAAATACAGATGAAGCTGTAGAGACAACAGAAGCAAGTATGTATCTACACTCTTTCAAATAGTTCTAGGGAGATATAGAGAACAAAATAGGAGCTCAGTTTGCATAATTTAACTTCTGTGACCATTTCTAATGTCTTCTAAAATAGGCTGTAATCATTAATGGTGTGACTTATTTTSCCCAATATTTTATTTTTAGCAGTATCAGATCAACCTGATCCTGACCATTGTGGAATTGAATCAGAAAAAAGTGTCCCCAGTGCTGATGCTGACTCTGGGAATGCAGAGGAAGAAGCCTCCTGTGAAGGGAGTGCAAACCAAGACATTTGCAGTGAAAGCACTGACCCCACTGCCAACCCGCTCATGGCGAGCGATGATCCTCAGTCCCAGGCAGAATCCTCAGGGCTTGCAGCTCCAGACGAGTCCACCAGGACCTCAGCTCTCCAGGAAACTGATGACAGCGATGATGATCCTGTCCTGATCCCAGGGGCGAGGTATCGAGGAGGCCCAGGACACAGGTTAGGGGAATACTTATCCCTGCTGTCGCTTGGCAGAATGCTTTTTGCTTTTTTGTTCTTTATTTTCTCTTATTTGTTTGAATGCAAGAWCAAGGAACTCATGCCTCRTATCCTTGTTCTTTGACAATTGGCCAAGAGCTTGATGGCTGAGTCTCATTTGCCTACATGTAAGATACGTACAGCTACATTTTCCCTCCCAGCCAGGAAGGGTCTTGCAGATGTAATACCTGTTTATTCTGATTTCTTGCTTGCTGAATACCTCAGTCCTAAATATTTGCAGTTTATTTTGTATTATTCTCTCTCTAGTCATAAGTCTAGAAAGTTCAAAAATTGGGTTACGGGAACCTACATTTTCTTTCAGCTGTACCTTAGGTGTTCTTATTTTGGCAAAGCAAGAGCTTTTAACTGCTCTTGTTCAACAATGGTGTGTTTGTAGTACGTATGTTAAAACTAGTGTGTTCCATTTTTCATTCTTTTTTCTCTGAAAGAGAAACTGTAATCCTTTTCCTTTTGTTAGTTATTGAGTAACAGTGTGTATATCAGTAAAAAGAAAAGGTAGACTGCTAGCTGTTATCATCAATAAAAGATGGTTAGTAAGCTTTGTGAATTTTTGCATCTAAACCGCGCTACATACTTATTTAATAATTCAGTAAACCAAGCCCTCAGTTTGCTATTGTTGGTTTAATGCCTTAGTTCATTAATTACAAAACTGTAAAATTATTTAAGCAACATTCCTGTTGTTAGACTTCAGACAATACCTTTTTTGCTAGTTGTAGATGTAAGTAAACCTAGTGTCAGATGCCTTTGCTTTACTCCTGTTCAAATGCAGAGCTATTATCTTCTTAAGCTAGCAATGAAAGTTCTTTACAGGAATTTGTAATATGTATTCATTAGGAAATCAGGAAGAATTTAATAGCTGTTTCTTGAAGAGGTTTTGAATAATTTGCAGTTAAAATAGAACTTGTAAGCCACAACATTGTMAGTAGTGACAAAAAAGAACAGTCAGTGGTTGTTTATTACAAAGCACAAGTAATTCTGCTCAATAAATGACAGCTTTTATGAAGAAGCCAATATACACAGATTTTGTCTTAATCCATTAACTTTCCATGCAGTACTAAGTATTTGTAACAGATATGGAATGGCAGAAATAGTTTCCCCTGCAGAGCCAATGTTCATTATGATCCAGTGATGGAAAAGCAAGCTGTGAAAAGCCATGCAATTTTAATCCCATCTCCATTTCCAAGCAGGATTCATAGCTTCTCTTCATGCRCCATGTTGTCTCTACGATGTAATATTTTCTGTAGTAATGTGATAAGAATGACATTTCCAGGTATTACACAGCTGTTACCATTTCCCACTAGTGGGGATATCCTGAATGAAGCTGCAATTCATCTGACATGCTTGCTTTCTTCTGTGTGCAGTGAGATTTCTTCCTGTAACAGTTTAAATTTATCATATAGGAAAGAATTCAACTTAATGAGTTATATAATTAAAACTCTTTATGCAGTCCCCTGCTCTCTTATTCTTCTCTCCAAATAAAATCTGACGAAAATTGCTTTGTAGTCAGTGTTGGTTTAGGATTGCTTGCAGGCTTTTGTTGTTCAGGTTTAATGCCTGACCAGTTAATTTAATTCTGCTTTTGTCTGTTTGCAAGCAGTGAAGTTTCCTAGTTAGACTTCTGAGCATTACATTCAATCCTATTCTTCTGGTTTCAGGAGTCTCCAAATGCACTCTGWGATACTAAGGAACAGTAAGACATCCTGTGTGTGCTCAAAGGAATTTGGATTTCCAGAAAGAAAGCAGACACTGATGGTCTTAAAGGCTATAGCTAGTAACCCTCTTAGTATTTATATCTCAGAGTGAAAGGAACTGGAAGTCCTCTCTACTACTACTATGGCATTTGTTATAGCCTATAATCCCTTTCACAAACTGATCAAATTTATATAAAATCCCTCATGTCCTTTAACGAGTAGGAAGCTGACTTTAAGCATTGCTGCTGCAATGAGTATACATGAACTAAAACTGGTCATTTTGTTCTGTGCTAACTTTCTGCTTTGATTGAAATAATTTTTCATGCCCAGTGCTCATCACTGAATGATGTTCATCCTGTCCATTTTCAGGTTTTGTCTCCTTAGACTGAGTGCCAAGTTTTTCTCACTCTTAGCAGTACAAATCTGTGTATTTCCTGCCATCGTGCTAGTTTCTGTCTGTTCTCCTTCATGTTTGCTGAATGTGGTAGCCCAGCCCCCTGCACTGTTTGGGTTTTGCTGGAGTAATTCTGTGATTGTTACTCATTGTGCCTCAGGGAATCCTCTCTGCACCATGAGCTTGAGCTGTGTCCTCCTCCTCTCGAGCTGTGTCCTCCTCCTCCTCTCTTGCTTGTGGCTGTAGTGAGGCACAAGCCCAGCACCCTTTCCTACTTTATCACTCCTAATTAATGAGTGTTCCCTTTCACCAGAGGGAAGCTCAGAGGTGTGTAACTCAATTTTAWATTGCTGATTTTCTACCTACCTCTTTTTTCGCAAGGCCCTACAGTCCCCTCTCTATTCATAAAGTTCCCTCAATGTGCTGCATGATTCCATTCCTACACCCTGCCCAAGGACTATTAGCAATACATGGCACAGAACTGCCTGCAAGTCTGGGGCTGTGCTCCACCAAGATGCTTTCTGTAGGCTTGTTTTCTCTTTCCTCACTTAGTATGTTGTGTTACCTAACATGTCCTTTACTAAAGCTAATTTTCTCCAGTTAATCTAATACTTTAGTTTCCAATTTGTCATCTTACAAGAAAATTAATGGCATTAATATCTGAGTAGCAAAGTAGATTTTTTTTTTCTCTCTCGAGCTGTTTTGGGTTTTTTTGTGAGTTTGGTTTAGTTTTGTTGTTTTTTTTTCTTTCTGAAGAAGAAAGACTAGCCTGCAATAATCTACCTTTTGAAAATGTATTTATGTAATATTTTTAAAAGTTTCATTTTTGTGCAAGACAGAAAATTTAAAAAGATTGTTGTAGCCTTCTGAAACAGAATGCTAAAAACTTCTTGACTAATAAGCCTTTTCCAATATGTAGCATTACTGCCTTTGTCTACAATCAATTTCTTTTTCTTTAGGCTGTGTTTTCTTATAAACCAAATAGCTCTTGTTTACATTGAGGAGAAAATCCACAGAGATAAGGTAGAGAAATTAATATAAAAGAAATTGTCTCAGAGTAATATTCCCCAACTTTTTTCACTGAAAAAGAAGGGTAGATTTCTGATTCTGTACTCTGAAACTGTGATCTGTAGCTTCCTTTTAAGGAAAAGAAGTTGCAGAAATACCCTTTTGATAGCTCTGTTCAGCGGTTAAATGAACTGAGGACTTCCTGCTGCATCTCACCTTATTTTTAGTAAGATGGGTGTAGATTTCAGATTTATGAGTAGATATTGTTCATTTTGCAAATCTAATTTTACAAGRCTTCCATTATTGAATTCTATGTGGGTACAAATCCAACTTTCGATGTTTTCAAGCTGAGGGTTTGATTTTTTTTCTCTTCTTAAATAATCTAAGAACAGATACAAGGGGCATTATCTCATATTGTGAATGCTTGTAAATCTCAAAACATAATGACCATAGGTGGAATTAACCTGAAAGTGAGCCATCAGGAAAGACCATGCAAAGTTTGCACCTCCTTTAAWATTTTGCAAAGGACTTTAAATAGCAGCAGCAAAATGGAGAAAAGTCAATCAGCCAGAGGATCATGGTAAAATCAGCGGCATGCTGATTTGGAGTCAACTTGGAACAGAAGGCCATTTCTTTAAAAGAAGTAATTGAGAATGTGACATCTGAAATTTTCCAGCAGCATTTCTGTAGYCACTGAGCATCAGTAAGGAATGGTCTTTCACAAGTGACCAAAAGAACCTAAACAGTTATTTCATTTTTTTTCATGTCATTGGACCAGTCAATGCATGTTTTTTTTTTGTAACAAAACATATAAGAAAGTACATAGAACATTTCAAAAAGAGAAAAAATTTAAACCTCTTCTATACAATAGATCAGTTTAGCTAGATACTYATCAGGGAAAATAACTTCCTGTGAATTTTAGGGAATTCACGGAACAAGGTGCCTTCTCTTCCAAATAAGATGAGATGTGCAGGTCTTTCAGTCTGGACATAYGCACAGGGCATTTCTTCTTTAAAACCCGAGTCTAGCAAGCTTAATTGAAACAGAGGGTTGTACATTGTAATGTGTGGGAGGGGAAAAAAGTCTATGCAAAACGTTCTTCATACACAGAGGGTGTACTTTTCAATGGATTGATCTTAATTTTCACAAATTAGTCAAAACAACTCTCTGAGGGCTGATATCCTACTTAAATGACTGAATTAATTTTGTTTGGACTTTGAAAGTTGATCTGGGGGTGGAGGCTAAGCCTGGAAAAAACTACAACTAGCAGGTTAAAATTTAAAGAAATAYGAATGTAAAATGGAAGTGATGATAGAGCTGCTGTGATCTATGAAGAATTACTGCRTTTTATAAGATAACTTTGTGTACTGTTATATAATCTGAATTCTATTTTTGCTGAAATYCAAGTAGTCTCATGTACTGACTCATACACTGGGAAGGAGCCTTCTCAGTTGGAATTCATAGAGCACATTTTGTAAGAGATGTTAACCTTTGAAAAACATGGTGCCCAGCATTTGTGAATGACTTCAGTTGTTATTCCCTTTACTAGATATAATATCAGAGGAACAGCGATAGGTGATAGAATAATGAGGTAATTAATTATTTTATTCCTCCTCTCCTCCTTTTTATTGCCGTATATTGGATTTATCAGGTTCTTGTTTTTCATATCTAACTGGCATTTTAAGAATTGCTGTACTTCAAATGCTATGAATTACAGAGCATATTGCTTGAGTTATATTTAGCTGCATGTGTTGCATGGAAATGGAAAAGAAATGGCAGTGTATACATTTTACAACCTATTAACATTTTTCTCGTGTGCCATAGAAATTAATGGAATTTGAAAAGTG